ATTAATATGTAATAATATGTATACTAAGCCTGAAGGTGGCGCTTTACTACGACTGCCATCTTGGATGGTACACATACATAACTATGCATTGCTGCGCCATCTTGTCAGCACTCTAGTTGTTTAATAGCTCTATGGTATTTCTAAACTTGTAATAAACTATAGAGGGCGCCAGATCATTTTTTTAACCTATCAGGGAATTATTGCAGTAGTATTACTATTAATTTCTTCAAAGTTTTCCGTCTTTTTCCGACATTACGCTTTTGTCAATTTGTTTCCATATCATTAATCTTAAAAAATTATGCTTTTTTTAAAAATATCTTTTATCTTGACGTCACCTTCTAAATGTTTCTTAATTTGGTGATTTTCTTGTTTTATTTTTTGTGTAGGTACTGCTCCGTGGTCATGAACATGGTACGAATTGATTGCCATATTCATTTAATTAAATCTAATCAAAATGCTCATTGACTTCGGTTTTTCTTCTGGTCGCTCCAGTAGATTGTAGGCCTACATTATTCTATAATTCTTTATTGATTGTTTGTTTGAGGAGAGTTTGACAACTACCACATAAATTATCGTACTTCATTCCTCTTATTTTGTTACGTTTTACAGTATAAAATTTTTCTACGCAATATATCTATGCTCAATATATCTATCTATGACCTAAAGTTCACCATATTTAAATATATACTTACACACGCGCTGAATAACCGGTATTTGAATTATTTGGACTTGAACATCCGGCATATAAATTACTGTTTATGAACTTTGAATTTAATATTGATAATAGTTCTAAAGAAATACGCAGGCCCTACACAGATCCAATACTGTATGCAATAATTATTATTAGGCTATATCTAGATAGGCCAATTTATGAACCTTTGAAAACTAAAGGTTTATTGCAGGTCGATTGTATTATTATTATTATTTTCCTATATCCAATACCTATTGCGAACAATTAAACGTAAAAGTTTTACGCGAGTGAATTGTGAACAATTGTACTGTTTGGTGGGGTTGAACATAATTTTAATAAAATAATTTTTCGAGTTCGAGTTTTCGATAATTCATAAACATTATCTCGACAAGTGTGGTTCCTAAGGCATTACTGAGTACATACCTCATCGTAAGTATTAACCAATTGTGGTTCAGTTTGCAAAAAGCTTCTAACTGCTTCCCAGTTATTTTTCCGGATAGCCTGTACTAATTTGTTTCTGTAAAATAATAATCAAAATTCATCATTGACTGTTTGATTTACTTTAGGATAATTATATTATTATTATTATTATTATTATTATTATTATTATTATTATTATTATTATTATTATTATTATTATTTATTATTATTATTATTATTATTAAAAATCGTCACAATTCTCATGTTTAACTCTTGATCATCATCACCATCATCGTCGTCATCATCATCATCATCATCATCATCATTATCGTCATCATCATAATCATCACCATCATCATCATCATCACCATCATCATCACCACCATCATCACCATCATCATTATCATCAATATCATCATCATCATCGTAGGTTATCATTCATAAACGTTAACATAATCTCAACTCTTCATGTTCATGAATATATTTGACATTATCGTGTCATGGTTTGGAATCCAGAGATTAATTTACCATAATTGAATAATCGCCACGGAGTAGGCTTTTTTATTGTTCTTTTTTTATTGAAACATTAAATAAAGTTAACAAAACTTAAATGATTGTCACTATTATACAACTTTATGCTTATTAATATCATAAATAATTTTAGCGTCTGTCCGCACTGCTCGGAGTTTTTAAAACTTATTTTATTCAAATGTTATTTTTTTTATTACCACACATTATTTTTATTATTATATGCAATTTGTCTAAAATACATACGGTAATTGATTATAATTGAAATAAATAAATTAATTTTTAAAAATCCTTTATTGTCCGGTTACAAATAATTTGAAATTTTGCTTGGCCCCTGGGGAACAGCGGCAGCCATAGTGTAGCGCCAATTAACCGACATTATAACGTGTACATTGTTCCTTATACCGTCTAAATCTCATGTGAGGGTTATTCGAGAAACAGAGCGATCCGACTCCAATTAGAACCAGACGTTGGCCGGATTTGAACCGGGGTCCAAAGCAAGAAGCAGGAACATTACCTTTTTTATTACATTATTTTTAGTCATTGATGTAATTAACATGGTGTTCCTTAACAGCATAATTACTTTAAATGCATCCAGGAGTACATGCGCCTGTGGGGGTAGGGATGGTATAGATAGATATCCGAAACTAAAACCCACCACAAATCGTGGGAGAAAAAAAAATGATTTCTCCATTTAGTGGGCGACAAAAATCGCATGAGCGCATATTATGTCAGTTTACTAATAATTAGTTATCACTTAATAAACTAATTGTTTGTTCTTTTGTTTATCTTATCAAAATGTACATTCATACTCACTCTTTCTTAGGCAGATACTCCATTTCAGTGAATTCTTCGAGAGCTCCGTGTATGCATGGTCTAATGGCAGTAAAGTGTGAAATAATGAAACGATGTGAGGTGGACACTCTAATAACCTGTAAAACTGATATTCATAAACACTCAGAATATAATTGGCTAGTCCCGTCACGTGATTTAGGGTTATTCTTGTTTGCAATATACAGTAGGCCTATTAGGAACCTTCTTTGTAATAAACATAATTAGGGCAAAGTCTATAAGCTATATTGTAAATGTTGGATGGTCATGGGTGTATGATATCGATTTTCTAAAATAATGTGAGGATTGGAAACGGGACTTTACAATATGGGAAAGCCTGTATTTTTCCTATTACGGTGTTTATCTCCTTCAAATTAGTTTCACAACGTGCCAAGCTCTCTTACCCAAATGTTATGGCCTAAATATCGTCAATTCCAAAAAATTGCCATTGTACATCTCTCTTTTATATTATAAGGAAAATTAAAGTTATATTATGATATTGGCAGCCAAAAGAATTACGTGCAAGTAACATAATTTTGAATATAAATACTAAATAGACTATAGAGTACGTCTGTACGATAAGTAAGCTATAAATTATTTAAAAAAAATTGAAATAGAGCGAAAAGTAGCAGGTAAGCAAAACAAACATTTCATGAAACACAAAGAATTAAGATATTCATATATTAGTCCTACTCTACATTACGACACTGACGCATAATACCAGTCGGATCCTCTGTTACAATATACAGATTTATACAGATTCATGTGAATCATCTATTATTAAGAACAAATATGGACATTTTTTTTAAAGTGACGAGAAGATTTTACAGTATTTCTTTGTTCATCATTGTTTGGTGTAGGTGGTACACAGAATCCTATAGCGTGAAAGTTTTTTTTTTTGGGGTGGGGGGTGGGGGGGGGATGTTATACACATCTAGATGTGTATAAGAGACAGGTGTTGGTGTGCGCAGCCGCTAGCCTAAAAGAAAAATTAAAACTATAATATAAAAAAGAGAATCGCACTCATCCTAAAGTGTAAGAGCCTCATTTCTCGTAGGAACCTGGGCTTGGACTAGAAGACTAGAATAGAAACATACCCATCTTGAACAATTGACACAAAAAGCAACTCTCTAGGACTAGTAGTTGACAAGATATACCGTAACTATATTGTGATGTCCTTTCACATACATAGATATAATTTTTTTCAAAAACTCAAGGGTTTCCCCTCCTTTGAAAAAGGCAGTGATTTTATTTCATTCTTTAGGCCCGCACATAGAGAAAAAAAAATCGAAGACATAGGCAATATATTATTATATTCCAACAATAATGAGTAGTTAGATATATGTAGTCTTTCTTTCCATGGATCGACGATGAACAGATAGGCCTCATGAAGAACGCACTTTAGTGCATACATTATTACGACGTTGAACCAAAAGCAATGTGTATAATTTATTTAATTTCCTATTGAAGCGATTAGAGGCCTTGTTGGCATTAAGCGCTATATAAATATAACATATTAAAATGAGATTACACAGATTGCCTCTCATGAGCAGGCCATCATAATAATGATAATGCAAATGATGATGATAATGTTAATGATAATGACGATGATGACGTTGATGGTGGTGACGAAAACAATCATGATTTATCAATCAATATAATAACCAACCGTTCTATTAATAATCAATCATTCAATCAATTTTACACCTCCCTCAGGAGAAAACATTCAAATTCAAAATAAAACAAACTCAATAAATAATATTATAATACATACAGCAACAAGATATCGTAACAAATTAATTATATAAAGTTTATGAATTATATAATCTATTCAAAAGATCGTAAAATTAAATTGAGAACAGCGTTAACTAATGGCAAGCTTAACACTGAGGCTTTGGGAGTGGCTTGGTCGTGAGAAAGAAAAAAGAAACCTTGTTCCGTGACGGGAATTGAACCCAGGACGCTGCGATTGGAGGGCACGCATCTTAACTATGAAGCTTTTCATATCCACTCCATATATATCTGTAAATATTTTATAAAACATGATGATTATGATAATTATGAGGAGGATGAGAAGATTGTGGTGTTGGCATCGATGGTGATGATAACGATGGCAATGACAATGGTGATAATGATGGTTATGCTGGTAGTGGCACCGATGATGGTGATGATGATTATGACGATGATTACAGCTCACTATATTGTTTAAAAAATTTAAACATTTTCCCATAATTCCAACGTCCCTTTTAATATCATATAAGCCTATTATTCTGTAAATATTTCAAAAACAGAAAGCTGTATAAAACACGGACTCCAATCAACCACGGCCATTCCACGATGACACATTTTGAAGTCATATAGCAAAATATATGTCAAGTCATCATGTGATACCAACACCTTGTTAAAATCCCCATATCAACTCCCAGTATCGATCGAACAAACATTATTGCATAGCGATACATAAGTCGTTAAAAAAACCGAACATGCTGATAAGTTTGGTTAGCAACTTTGTCAGACAAATTATTGTTACCGAACGATTGCTGATATCTGCTGTACACAGAAACCAAACAATGTACACCCGATACACCGACCAAACATAGAAGACATTCACAGCAACACAGGAAGGAAGAAAGCATCGTTATCAATGCAAAATGGATACATCAGCCTCTTACCATTGCGGGCTATGGGTTCACGTTTAAACACAACAGGCATTTCCTGATACATTTATGTTTTTATGATACAGAAATTGTATTTCAGTAATTAAAATAACTCCCAATTTTATAGACAATGGATGTCATTTATTCGTCCAATATTTTATTTCAGAATTCAGTATTTGTACAAAACCAAATAATTGTTAAAGTTATTTACTAAACTGTAAAATGAAAATTAACTGACTACACTCGAGATTATTCTTATGTTATTGATTGAGTGTGTTTCAGCCACTTGCTCACCAGCCTTTTGGCATCCAAGACCCTTTGTAACCTGGCCATTTGCTGGAAGAAAATGAGTCTAGTGTAGCAACGATTCTAGTATGCCACAAGACCGGATGGCACTGGGCCTAGACCCACTCTCCCTCCCCCACACCAAAGGTAATAATAAGCGAGGTTCCACTGCTAAACATTGAAAATTTAGCAAAATACGTTAGCATTGAAACTAAAATTGGGACTCCATTTTATGATAAACAAACATAAATTCTGGTATCAAACCCTTTCGCGCTTTACCGATGGTGATGGAGTAATTTTGGATTTCGAATTTACAGTCTTTTTTTGCCGTCACGATATGATAATTTTTGTTCTAGTTGTGTTTTTCATGTGACTTTTTAAAATAAAAACATTGTCTGATTGCCGTTTAGGACCACCATGGAATGGAGGAGCAGAGCCCGACAAAGAAACATGTTTTTTGTAATACAGTTATTAAAAAATCAACAGTCAGAATAGCCTGAAAATGAAAATAAAATGTACAATAATGTCGCGATAATTGAGAACAATTTTAGTGAAAATGTTTTAAAACGCGAAGGCGGAGCGTTCGAAATCACCTTGCCTACGGGCATGGGATATATTTTGTTAAAAATATACTATATTATTATAATATTATTATTATTATATTATTATTATATTATTATTATTATTATTAGTATATTATTATTATTATTATTATTATTATTATATTTTGTTATTTTGTTAGCATGTACTGTATAATTTAGGCTTTACTGGGATATATTATAGCCTAGTAAAACCTAAATTATACAGTACATGCTAACAAAATACAGTATAGATGTAGACAATTCCATTCTATCATACCAAAAACTTTGTAAGGATATTTTTGTACTGACAGTGACATGCTTAGCTTCAACTTGGGATTAAGATTTTCCTAAATAGCTATCCCATCACCTTATTCCCACTCCACTCAATCTTGGCAGACTGACCCACATTGTCCCTTTGGTAATATCAAGTTACCATTAATATATTTTGGAGTTACAATAGTAGAGTTGCAGAAACACAAATCTCTGCTCAGTTTGGGATTTATATTTGAATGCTATATTTCACAGGGGCTTTTCTATTTCTTTTTTTTTTAAAGGAAAATGGAAGGCTAGTATAATTTGCATTATCATCACTATAACAACTCCCTGGTATATTGTTGATATATAGAAAAGGTTCGACATTTAATGGGTTTTTTTGTCATTTAAAAAATATCTTTTTTTTTATTGTAACAATAATAATTCATAACAAAAATGTACTTGGTACTTAGGTTACTGTATATCCTTTAATATTTAGAAAAGGAAACTTACAAAGTAACAACACAAAATTTATAGTTGTATACTTCCATATTTACTTGCAAGTTCATTATTTATAATGTAACAGGCCTACAGTATAGGACTATTCATATTTATAATTTTTAACTTCATGAACAAAATAAATCAAACCCAAACATTTCAATTCCATTCGCAAAAACAAAAATCATTTTAAATAGGCCTACATGCATAAATATTTCACCTTGTTGGTGAAATCATTATTTTATTTCACTAAAAAATATATTGATTTTGATTAGCCTTCCTTTGACAATACTCATTAAAAAAAAAATATTAGGCCTAACTTGCGCATAAAAATCTATGTAAATTTTAAAAAGTGTACCCCTGATTTTTCTTGAAATTGCCATTTCCGTTGTTGACTTTCAGATTTGTTCGTTTTTAATCATCGTTTGTCATTATTTTTAACCACGGAATGAATGATTTCATATCAGTGGCAGATCCATTAATTTGAAATAGTTTGTCCCAGGGAGTCACTTTCACTGATGGAGAGTCATACTGCAGCAGCCCTCGTGAAGTAGGTTGGTTGATAAATCGAAAGTTTCAAAGGCCTTAAATAATAATAGCCTAGTAAATATAGGTCAAATTGTGGGCTATTACATAAGAAAGCTCCTTTGGGACACACCTATTAAGAATTGGACACTTTTCCGTTAAATTAGGGGCAATATAATTATCTTTTAACACTACGGCCAACTCTTATTTAATAAGAGGAGGGAGAACACATACGGCGTGTGCCAAATGATTAAATCTCTATTAAAGGGAACGCTTTGTTTGTTTTCATTGTCTCAAAACAGCTACAGCAGTCTCAAAATAAGAAAAACTCATTCAACTTTAATTTTGACACATTTTGAGCAATAGACCAGAATTTTCTCCACTGAATCCTTATAGTGGACGTGGTATACAATTTTTACCCTTAACCAAAGGGATTTCTTTTTCTTTGTTTTTCATGTACAGTTTATATAGGATTCAAATCTATACCACAACAACTCTTAATTGTAATTTGGTCTCTATTCATGCTACATCCATCCAAATATAATGCTCAATATTAAAAATAAAATTTGGTCAGTAACGTTGCATCATGAAATAATATACCGTACGGAACATAAAACATTACTGTTGTTTGAATTACCTTTCTGCTCATTTCATACTCTTATGAATTGTATTTGCATTGCAAATTATTGCTATAAATTAGTTCTAATTTTAATGTAACTGATTTTTATGTCAATAAAAACATGCTAAATACCCCTATAAAGGGGACAATTTCACGTTTTTAGTTTGTGTCCCCGCTTATGGGGACACTTTTAGTAGTTCCGAAAGATGTATTTGACACAATTATGAAAATGATATGTTGATAAAATTGTAAGTGTTGGGAGGCTAGGCCCTGTTTATCTCCTGTCAGCATCTTCCACCGATGAATTTCCTTGAATGAATGAAATGAGAAATCGAGAAAAAAGGGCCTTTTGCAAGGGCCCCCTCGGTCTTTGTATTTGCTTACGAAAAATTCAAAAAGGCGGACTTTTTAAGGTTTTGAAATTAAAATAAAAACAACTATACTTTGTTACAGTAGTAGTTAAATCGTTACAATAATTGTTAATGTATTATTACAACAGTGGTTTTTGTTACAACAGTTGTTAATGTTACAACAGTGGTTAATGTTACATCAGCGAGAAAATAAGATTTTGATAACCATTGAAAAGCACATAATATGGTATTATTTGGAAGATTGGCAATTCATCTGACCCCGCTTTTCGCTAGCTAGATGCAGTAAGAAAAATCAAAGCAGCACAAAATAGGAATACCGTACCGACGATAAAACGCCCTACATACAGATGCAGAAAACAGATGATGATGATGATAGTGACCAATATTGTATCTCACATCAGTATTCATCATTATATTCTCTTTTTAAAGACCCGGCAACAACAGCTATAGCACACAGACAGCTAGTTTTAACCGTAGGATCAAAGAGAAGTAGCTGTATAGCAGAACTAGCACTACAGCCTGTTAGCAAAAATAATAAATTTATTTAGAATGAAGATTAAAATGATTCTGTTGATTGTTTGGTTCAACTTGACTTGAACGAACTATTAAATAATGATTAACACCACAAAACAGTCAACAAAGATTTTCACTAGGATCCCTATGTGCCTACTGTTAAGAAAACAAAGTAATCTAATGAGATGACATAATATAATAGATGGTGACTGTGCAGATTTAAGATAACAATAAAGGACGTTTTAACGAGATGTAGCACGCCAAGAAGGAAATATAAAGTAAAAATGAACACAAAACAGATAACAATATTTACCAAAAGTCAAGGGTCAACGATTTGCGCTAGTACTGTATCCCACGGATATGTGCTTACTGCTAATAAAAAAAAAAGGGAACAGTGAATTCATTGTTCCCTGGAAAAACAAAGTAATCTACTGTATCTAGGCCATACAAAAAGACTTTTCCTTATAATCATACAGATTTTCGTCCTAAAACAGATTTTGGACAATACCGTACAATGAACTTTCATATTCATTCATTCTTTCATTCAAAACTTTATGTAATCTCAAAAATGCAAAATTTACAGCATGATATAATTATACAAAATATAAAATTCATAAAGGACTTGTTCGATCATATAACAATTAAAATTACAAAGTTCTAGAAGGTAAAACAAGTGTAAAAAAAAAGTACGGTAACAAAAGTGATAATAACAGTTTTATAAGCGTAAAAAGAAAAATCGTGAGTCACAAAAGTATTTAAAAGAGTTAAAACTGTAAAATATATTTCTAAAAACTGAGAAAAACAATAACAGTCGGTAAGTAAAATGTCTTAAAGGAAATCATATAGTTATAGTTACGTTCACATCAAGCCCAAATCTGGTCTGAATACATGGCTCGCAGATCCATCGGTCCAGGTCCAGAGTCCGGATTGAAAATCGCACGAATTTGATGTAAACGGTCCTATTCTTTACCACTGAACCTATTTTTCAAGATTTTTTTCTCCGGACTCTGGACCGGAATAATTCAGGCTTGATGTGAACGTAGCTTTACAGTACAGTTAGTAGTACATAGGGGTTGAGATGGGCTTCTGATTTAGTGGGTAGCTTGTAATTCATTGACATGTTTTATGTCCTCTTATGGAATATGAAAAAAACATAATATGAATGATTTTGTCAGTAAACGGGCTTTTAACAAATTAATAAAGCTTTGTTTTGAGGTAAATTTTCTATAGTATAGTACTGTGATTGTTTTTTTTATATTTTTCGTAGCTTATAGTCAATGGCTTATTCGACTGGTTCATTTCGTTGAGTACGAATTTTCGTTGTGTATTATTTTCATTCGACTGGTTCGTAAAATAGACTTCATTGACAACGAAAATTAACGTAACTATAATGCGTTAGTCAGTGTTAAGTTATGCACGTGACCCCAAAAAATATGGCCGATTGGTCAGTTTAACAACAACATTTGCGTTTATATAATTTAGATTAAATTTCAGAAAATAAAAATTACAACATTTACCCACATTGAAGTCCAAAAATAATTGTAGGCTAACAGAATTAAAAAACTGAATAAAAACATTTGTTTTTACGAAACACCAATACTGCAACATTCTGAAGCAGTATTGATTACACATCGTGTATCGCGGTAACTATGCTGCCATTTTGTTTTGTCGAGTATTTACCAGTTTTATATTCAACTGGTCGTCTTCGGTAGGATTTTACAACTGCGCAGGTGGGCGTTGTTTAACGAAGAACGATCAGTCGAATACGGCCTATGTGTGAAAAGGTATAAACCAGGAAGATGTCCAAATCTTTCTATAATTACAGTAATTTTAATACTTTAATATTCGATATTTTGAATTCCTGTAAATTTTCGAGACGTGTTGAGTGATGTAGCAAGTATAACACTGGTTCTTAATTGACCTTTCGTGCGTGTTCATACCGCTGTTCTGATTGGTCAAATTTTAAGCTGAATTGACACTCCGGAATGGTCTATGTGTTTAAAGGGCTCAAATAATTCTTTATTAGATGATGCAGCTCATGGAAAGATCACGAGATTAACAATATAATATCTGCAAAGATCAAACATTTACACTCAACAACAAATCACAGCAAAGTGGCTGCATGAATGTCAGTATATGTTTTTGCGATTTTCGAGTACATTCACAAGGCCACTAAGACGATGCTTAAAATAGCAAAAATAGATATATCTCAGTTTTTAACAGAAATATCTTAGTTTTGAATAGAAATATCTTAGTGTTAAATAGAGATATCTTAGTTTTAAATAGAGAAATCTCCGTTAATAGATATCTCTATTTAAAACTGAGATATCTCTAATCAAAATTAAGATATCTCTATTTAAAACTATTATATCTCTATTTACAATTAAGATATCTCTACTTACGATTAAATGACAACCCGGCTAGCCGTAGAATACCGTAGACAATGAAACGAGTGGGATCATCTTATATACGCCCGACATACAGATGCAGAAAACAGATGATGATGATGACCAATATCGTATCTTACATCAGTATTCATCTTCTCAGTTTAAAGACCCGGCAACAACTGCTGTATAGCAAAAAAAAAAACAAAAAAAAAAACAAAAAAAAACAAACAAACGAAAACAAAGAAGCCCCAAAACACAGCTAGTTTTTAACCGTAGTATCAAAGAGAAATAGCAGCACAGCAGAAAAAAGCAAGATGATGTTTAGGATTGTAGTCGTGATTGATCAAAATGAGATAACATATAATTATAGATGGTGACTATGCAGATTTAAAATATCAATAAAGGTTTTACACGAACGGGATGCAGCACGCCAAGAAGGAAATATTAAATAAAGATGAACACCACAAAACAGATAACATCTACCAAAGTTCAAGGGTCAACGATTTGCACTATGTTCCCACGGGTATGTGCCTACTGCTAAGAAAAACAAAGTAATCTACTGTACCAAGGCAATACAAAGACTTTTCTTTAAATCATACAGACTTTCGTCCTAAAACAGAATTTGCATTAGGACAATACCGTACAAAGAACTTTCACCGACTTTCATATTCATTCATTCATTCAAAATTTTATTTAATCTCGAAAATGAAAAATTTACAGCATGATTTAATTATACAAAATATATACACACAGAATAAAATTCACAAAGGACCTGTTCGATCATGTAATAGGTAAAATTACAAAGCGATCGTTTATCAACAAGTTCGAGAAGAACAAGTGTAAAAAAGTACATTTCTAAAAAAAAAAAGAGAATTATGTAAAATGAGTAACAAAGTGGTAAAAACAGTTTTAAAAGCGTCAAAAGAAAAATCGTGAGTCACAAAAGAAATTTAAAAGAGTTAAAACTGTAAAATATTTCTTTAAAAAATTGGCGAAAATAATAACAGTCGGTAGAGAGTAAGTAAACTGTCTTAAACGAAATCATATAGTTTACAGTACCGTGATACAGGTAGTATACATATGGAGTTGAGATGTGCTTCTGATTTAGTGGGTAGTTTGCAATTCATTGAAAGGTTTTATACCCTATGAAATATGAAAAAACATAATTAGAATGATTTTGTCAGTAGACGGGCTTTTAACAAATTAATAAAGCTTTGTTTCGAGGTAAATTTTCTATAGTCTAGTACTGTGATTGCTTTTTTGAGACGCGCGCGTATTCATACCGCTGTTCTGATTGGTCAAATGTTAAGTTTGATTGACACTCCGGAAAGGTCTATTTGTTTAAAGGGCTCAAATAATGGACCTTTCCACTAAGCCCCGCCCCTTAGATATTGTTGCTAAGGTACCACAAGACGACAGTGTTAAAGCATACGCCAACACGTGCGTTTGTGGGACAACACGTGTGTTTGTGAGACGCGCGCGTATTCCTAGCGTTGTTCTGATTGGTCAAATGTTAAGTTTGATTGACACTCCGGAAAGGTCTATTTGTTTAAAGGGCTCAAATAATTCTTTCTTAGATGATGCAGCTCATGGGCCAGAGATAATATCCGAGTCATGAAGCAACTCCTTATATGGACCTGGGTAAAAGTGGGACTCCAGGTGGCCAAACCCTAAAGCCACAAAGATATTTAGATATTTTAGGCAATTTCAAATTCTACTTTTTATTGTGCTCCACTACAATTATTAAGGTACTGCAAACATAAAACTTCCGTTCAAAAAATAAAAATACATAAAAATAAAAATACATCAATATTCTGTTCATATCATGGTTGTCTTTGTCAAAAAATAAAGCGAAACATGAAAAATTGCATTCGGTGTATAACAAACGGCACAACCACGATAATGGCACAGACTTTTGATGACTGATTGGACATTCTGCTATACGATATACAAAGACTAATGTTGTGATGACAACAGCTAACAATACACTGTTCCTAGCCGTTCTAACTTACTTAGATAGTAATATTAACATGAGAAAGTATATAACTCGCATAATTAAATATAAATACAAATACAGTTAAACGATTATACACGATTCTTTTAAAATAAGGAAAAAAAAAAGTCTACCCATTTTAGGCTATTTATGAGAAATATAGACCCATTTTCAAAAGGTAGACTCATTTATGCATAAAACTGTTTATACCTTCTTCTTCAGTGCGTGCATAAAACGTAATGTTTTTGAATTTGGATCGAACATGTGTATTGATAAAACAATGCTGAACATTTAAAGAGTCGACTTCCTTCGGTTGTGGCGATATTAGACTGTAATATTATTATTAAATAGGTCCATTCAACAAACAACATAAACATATATATACCAAAGCTATTATGTCGAAGTTTTCACGTCGTTGCATGTATAAAACGTAATTTCCTAACGTTTAGATATCTGAACTTGACGGTCAACCAAAGTTCTCAGTACTATCTATAATCTTAACGACTGGACTTATGATTTAAGAAAATATAAACGTATATTGAGCTACGCAAAGTTTAAAAGTTTAAACGTTTAAAATTAAAAGACTACGCTTCTTTTATGTTGTGGTCATATCAGATTGTAATATCATTAAAAACCATTCAACAAAGAACATAAAACATATCACAATTATTAAGTTAATCTTTCCACTTCGGTGCACGTAATCATATAACTATTGTCCGACTGTGTATATTGAACATTTACGACGACGAATATCGTCCAATTCCCAACCGTAACTCAGGCTACGGGCCTCATCTTCTTCATCATCATAATTATTATATTGTCCATAGTAAATAGGGAAAAGCTATGAATTCAGAGTATATTCAATAATAGACGTCTCATAATGCACGAGAGTTCCAAAGCATCTAGAAAACAAAACTTTTCGAAGGAGGAGCCGAAGATCCCCACCACGCCTACCCCACTAGAATGTATCTTCCAACGACAGAAAAAGCTACTGTAGCTCTCTTCTCATGACCCCGCCCACCCTGTGAAACCATCTGTGCGATAGTCAGGGTGAACTCTGGATCCGCGCTTTATATTTTTTTAAGAGAAATGCTTTTAAAAGGTATATTTACAGATAATTATTTTAAAACAGAAAGTTTAAGCCTCAAAGCTTATTTTGTTTCTGTTGGTTACGCAACACTGACTTGGCTTGTTCGTCATCACTTCAAGTCTATCGATTCGTGGAATAGGCGTATTGGACACCACCAAAGCAGATAAAAAGCCACATAGCAGACGGCTGTCGTGTGAATAAAATGCGGTTGTACAGTGATATCCTGCTGCAGACTAAAACAGTGACGTGTTGGACGGGCCCGAATTCCTTTTGTCCTATTTGGTGCTTTTGTATCAGCAAGAAATGTGTTTAAATAATATTGGAATAATTTCAAATCCTTGGCCTATTATTAGGGGCGGATTTAGGATTGTGGCCGGTCCGCCCTACCCCCCCTTTTTGGGAGGTACAAAAAAAGGAAGAAAAAGAAATAAATGATAGCCCAGAACCCCTCAAATGCTATTTTCGGGTGTCTAGAACACAAAAATTCCTAGGGGCATGCTCCCGGACCCCCCGGGATAATGTTCCCCCCATCTCTGAATCCGCCCCTTATTACTATTTTATTTCAATTATTGTTTAATTTATTGTTAACACTTTAGCGTCCCCTAGGTCAAGCTCACCTTGACCAGGGGACGCATGTGTGTGACAAAAATCATTTAACAAGGTGGGTGTGGACTCACGAAATGATCTGTACCCTTGCCAAAACCACGCCCCAAGCCCCCTCCCCAGGCTTGGTGCTTCGCAAATCGCATTATCCACACCTCCACCCCATTGCTAAATCCTAGACCCGCCACTGAATATATCGAAAGCGAATACAACGCAGGAAATATACTGTTTAAATATACAAGCTTTTGAGAACATTAACGGCATTAAGACCACTTTAATATGCTGCATTCTATTTCCATTATTTTATTTATGCGATTGTTATCGGCCTATTCAAATTAAAGCACTTTTTACACACATAATATTATGCCTTACACTTTATCAAATTAAAATTATTTTACTTAATTTTAAAGCGTACTTATTAGATTTACATCGATGAATGTAGGTTGCAAAAACATCTACGATCAAATCTAAACGGTATGTCATTACACAACTCTATGTTGTTACTGTTGTTTTTATTTTCACTGAGATATTCCGGTTAAATGGCAATGTATTATGGCCAAATTTTAAGATTTGCTATGTTGTAAAATAGTTCACAAAATGGAAGAAAAGGACGCAATACAAAGGGACTTTAGAGCACAGTCTCGGGTCTGAAAATGTAGGCCTGAACAACAACACAAAAATGGATGTCGCAATTCAATCATCATGAAGGCATACAGGCTTGTACAATTACAGTATGGCATAGCACACGCCACTTACATAGTCAGGGTGAGAAATTAAATTAAAATGTTGACCATTTTTCTAACAATCATACTTACTTTCTTTGACACTTATTTTGAACATTACCATTAGGACATTGTTTAAGTCAACACTAACCTTTATACTTTTACACTGACTGTACTGTACGCTCTACCAGAGAGGTACATTTCCATTACATTATGGTCTTCCATTTCTACAGCGCATGAAAACATTACGTAACCAACTACTAATTCGGAATCGCTCAGCTAGGTTGTAGGGCCATTTCTAAAATGCGGATTCTGCGGACTAGGTTCTCAGTGTATGATACCAACAAATAATAATAATAATAATAATAATAATAATAATATTATTATAATAATAATAATAATAATAATAATAATAATAATAATAATAATAATAATAATAATATAATATTATTTTAATAATAATAATATTATAATAATATAATAATATTAGGCCTATTATTTAATGCTATTTTTACCTGAATCCTCAGAATCCGCAAAATCCGCATTTTAGAAATAGCCAGGTTTGTAGGCCTACATGTGCCTATTTTGACACTGACAATACTATGTCTAGATAAGTGGATCTATATCTAGACATAAGTTCGACGTGAACCAGGCTACTGTGTGTTTTAGCATTTGTTTTAAAGTTATAACTTATCAGACATTCACATGAACAATAAAACGAATGAAAACAAACAGGGGGCGTATCTCCATACAGGTCCTTGAACAGGCCTATGTTGTTTATAATTGATGGGGTGCATGTAGAATTTGGTGGAGGGGGTGCGTGAGAATCTACTCCACCTCAGTCCCACCATGACTGGGGCTAATGTGAGAAAATGCTTAGAATATGGACCGTAAGGTGCCCGGAAATCGTATTACTTTATTTTTAATGACTAAAATAATATATAACAATACAATAACTATGCAGACGGTGCGATCGCAGCCCCCTAAATTGCTGTTGTATTGTATTGTTGATATCAATTACCGGTAAGATTTTTAAACTATGAGTGTGCAATTTCCGGGCACTTAGAGGTCCTTCCCAGCAAATACAAAACGTTATTATAACATTCGCGAACGTTGTGGTTTAATTTGTTACAAAATTATTTAAAACATCGTTGTAAGAACGTTCAAACGTTGCGAGGTTGTGAAATTACGTTATGGTTCTATATTGTTCTACAAATAACATTTTTATCACCAAACTGTAACGTTATTATAACGTTCTTATAATTGTTAGCTAGGATAAAATTTTCTCACCTCAATCCCAACTGTCAGGGACGAATCCTATGGGTGAGGGGGGGGGGGCGAGAGCCCGTTCCCCTCATCAGTCCAGCCGAAAAAAAATAGTGGAGAAAAAATTGAATTAAATAGAGGAAAACAAGAGTTCAAGTGTTTCTTAGCCATTATTACGGAATGTAGTATTAGGCCTAGAGAACAGCTATCAATACACCATGTTTGAAAACAAAATGGTGGTTTTTCCTATTTCCTCTTATTAGGCCTGAACCTTTAATATAATGCATGTGAACCAAGTGATTGATCCGGGCACTACACCTCTCACAAATCCTCCTCTCGGAACTGCGGTTTCAGGCTTAGAGCTTGCGACTCCCAACATAAAAAATAGACTATAGGTCTTTGATTAGACATAGTGTGAGGAGGGGTGTCTTGGGGAAGGGAAGCATCGGGAAAAGATCAATAATTTTGTCGAGGAACACTGCTCTGAAAAAGCGTTTATACCGTCTGAGAGTGCCATATTTGTGAGAATCTAAAGGTCCTTATTTTAAAAATTTGCTCACCTCAGGGCGAGGGCTCCATGTTGGTAAAGTGCACATCAGAAAATGCACACAGAAAATGCCTGTGTCCACCCCACCATGGTGGGCCTGTGTTATGGATTCTCACGCACCCCCTACCCCCAAATCTTGCATCCACCCCAAGGATTCCCCCATGCAGTGGCGGATTCAAGGGGAACCCAGTCGGCCCGTGCTCTCGTAAATATTTCAATATAATATTATTTTTAAAGAGTGCTATTTCAGGCCATCTAGAGGCGACGTAATCTATGAAAAATAACAAATCTAGATGCATGGAAATAGCATCTGGCAACCTATAGATTTATGTATGTAGAGTAAAGAAGACTTTATAAGTATTATCAATGCACCATGTTTGAAAACAAAATGGTGGTTTTTCCTATTTCCTCTTATTAGGCCTGAACCTTTAATATAATGCATGTGAACCAAGTGATTGATCCGGGCACTACACCTCTCACAAATCCTCCTCTCGGAACTGCGGTTTCAGGCTTAGAGCTTGCGACTCACAACATAGAAACAGACTATAGGTCTTTGATTAGACATAGTGTGAGGAGGGGTGTCTTGGGTAAGGGAATCATCGGGAAAAAATCAATAGTTTTGTCGAGGAACACTGCTCGCCCTCTATTTCGAATTTCTGGGTCCAACACTGCAAGGACCACCCCTTGTGTGAAGGGCTGGGAAAATCCTGGATCCGTGGCTGAGGGGTAGTTTTTACCATGTAGTTTAAGTCAATTTTCAATAATATAAATTATTATTTTATAAAGAAATAAATTAGAAATAGGCCTACAGGGAGCGACTGGTTGTGGTTGAGGGACGGGGTGGTAATATTACCTGTATTATATTATATTTACTGTATTTAATATATTTTTTACAGATTAAAACTACATTTGCTATTTCCATGTTAATGTTATGATAGATGTATGTATGTACAGTAAGAAGACGTTATAAGTATGGGGGTATTCCATTATCACTTTGCGGCTAGAATACTCATTTATCTAATATCGTACAGTGTTGTTACTACCAGCACTGACTATTTATACCATGCGTGGCACTGAAGATGTAACATTAGCGGTGCTTGAAAGACATATCAATTAATCTAATAATGATTTCTTGCGACGAATACCAGGCCATTTGAAGCTACACGTGTTCACTATATATGTACTATTATTATTATTATTATTATTATTATTATTATTATTATTATTATTATTATTATTATTATTATTATTATTATTATTATTACAACTACTAATACTACTACTGAATTATTATTTGTATAATTCCTAAATAAGACTTAACAAAAAAATAAGAAAAAGAATAACATAAAAATAGCAAGGAAGGTCAACAATTATTATTATTATTTTTACAGAAACTTTAAACAATATAATCTATATACATTTATGTACAAGCATAACATTTTTCCTAAATAGAATAAAATCATAAAATAAGATGCACAAAGATCATGAATTTGAATATAAAATAAATAATATTATGTAAGATTTACAAAATTATTATAAAAAATTAAATTCAGTACAATAACATCCTCCAAAAAAGCATTGAAAACATCGCAAAAGTACTAAAATAGCAGCGAATTTTATTTATTTTACAAATCACATTTTCATTTTAATGATAATACAGAGAAAAAATGCCTTACATAATTACATCAAAAACAATTAAAAGAGAATTTAAAACAGTTCATCATGATTGGATTTTCCGCACGATTAAAATCGTAACGGTACTGGAAATGGTCTGCAGTTGTTCGCGCTTCGAACAGGTCCATTCTTAGAAGAAGCTTTTTTATGGAGAAAATGTACATTTTTCAGCAAGGTTTGCCTTGGTCAAAACTCAATCTGGCTATATCAAAATTGATTACAAGATTGAAAATGCTATTCTTGTTGATCAATAGATAAGGGTTACTACTCTTTCCATTTTCTATTGATCTAATCTACGTATTCAGAGTTTATATTTAATTAATTATAATAGATTAGGTATTTATTTGATATAAATATATAATATGAAAATATGAAATCGTTCATATTTATAATTATACCTAATATTACAGGTACTTGAATAAAACAATAAATAATAACGTTACAATTATATTATTGTTTATTAGTCTACAAAAAAGACAGAATGAAGGAAGAAAATCAAAGAGGTCCGGACCGGCTAAAAATTGTACCGAAAATTATATAATAATGATAATGGCTCATTATTACATTTTACGAGTTTATAGTGAATTTTGGACACTATTCATCAGAGGTCAAGGTGTCAAGCCTACACGTTTTGTAATTTGACATCGAATTATTATACATAATTGAAAAGCTTCCCTCCTTTTCTGTATTGTTTGTTTCTGTACATTTTTATTTTAACCTTACATAATTGGCCCATGTACAATCATAAATTGAAAAAAAAAAATAGTAATACAGATTTAGCTTAATTTCACATAACAATAATAATAATAATATTTTTTAGCCGTATATTGTGGCCAATAGTAAAATAATATATTATATATAATAATAATAATAATAATAATAATAATAAAGAT